CATAGGTGAAAATATTAGACTAGTTTATGATTTAATGCAATACACAGAACAAAAACAGATTCCAGGCTTATTAATGTTAATTGACTTTGAAAAAGCTTTTGATACTATATCATGGAAGTTTATATACCAAACATTAGACTTTTTTAATTTTGCGGAATCCATTAAAAATTGGATACAAACATTTTATAATGGAATCAAATCATGTGTAATACAGAATGGAATTTCCTCTGACTACTTGTTCCCACAAAGGGGATGCAGACAGCGGGACCCAATTTCACCATATCTCTTTCTACTATGTGCTGAAGTTCTTGGGATTCTCATTCGAAATAATAAAGACATAAAAGGAATTGTAATTGATGGGGAGGAATATAAACTTTCACAATATGCCGATGATACTTCAGTTATATCTGACGGATCACCACTGTCTATGGATGGTATATTAAGAGAGCTTGATTATTTTGCAATTGTATCTGGACTGAAAATTAATTTTACCAAAACTAAAATTGTGTGGATTGGTAGTAAAAAATTCTCTAAAGAAGTCTTTCATCACTCGAGATGGAAGTTAGACTGGAATAATTCTGCTTTTGATCTTCTTGGTGTAAAATTTTCTATCAATTTAGATGAAATGATTGAACTGAATTACCCACCAAAATTAAATGAAATAAAGCGATTGATAAAACAATGGTAATTAAGAAAACTGACTCCCATTGGTAGATTAACAGTGATTAAATCCCTGATTATACCAAAGATGAACCATTTGATATTGACTATTCCAAACCCCAATAAGGAATTGCTCGATGAATTTGAGAAAGACCTTTAATATTTTTTATGGGGAAGTAAAGTACACAAGGTTAAGAAATGTGTTATAATCCAAGACTGTAGAAATGGGGGGATTGAAAATGATTGATTATATGGATTTCTTATGTGCATTAAAATCAACATGGATCCGAAGACTAATCTAAAGTTATTTTGATGCAGGCTTTGTTCTCATAAGAGATCTTCTTGACGTTGAAGGAAAATTTATAAGCCTCGAGTACCTCAATAATATGAATGTACAAACTAATTTTGTAGAATATACCGGTTTAAAAATAGCTGTTACAAAGATATTGAAAAGTATTGATATTGAAAAAAGAGAAGAAAGTGGACCTTCTATTCCAAATTCAATTTACATTTTTTATAAAAGCACAAATGGTTATAAAGATATGTATAATATACTCATCAAGAAGAAAAAGCAAACAATTAAAGCATTAGAAAAATGGGAAAATAATGGAATATCTTTTGGTGAGTTAGAATGGAACAAAATATTTGAACTATCATTTAAAGTCACAAAAGAGGCAAAATTTCAGTGGATGCAATTTCAAATCCTGCACAGGATTATTGCAACAAATAAATACCTTTATAAACTTAAACTAATTGATTCACCTGTTTGCTCATTTTGTAAACAAGAAGTTGAAACAATAGAACACTTATTTTTTGAATGTTTCTGTGTAAATAGAATATGGTGTCATATAGAGGAGTGGTTTATAAAAAACTTCCATTTTACTATTAATTTTGATAGAAAAGATATACTGTTTGGAAAATACAACAATAAAAGCATGCATAGATTACACAATATAATAATACTTACTGTTAAACAATTTATTTTTGCCAGTAGGTTTAAAAATATGCCTAAATTAAGTATAGTAATGCTAGAAAAAAAATATTGTATATACATGTAGAATACTAGTTGAAAAGGCTATTCTTTTCAGAAATTATAAATTTTCAGAATATGAAAAGAACTGGAAAATTATTTGTGATATGCTATAATGTTCCTCAAATTTATACTCAAATGTACCAGTATGGTAAAATAGTGAAAACTGTTCCCCCACTTCACTTTGTTTTTTTTCCTCACCCCTCCCCTTTGTTTACTTCTTTGTATATAAAGCTTTCACAATGAAGATTCATAATATACATGAATGTCATATATCTTTTGCAGCTTTATAAAATGAATTTGTATTTAGCATTCACCAAAGAGGATTTGTATTAAGTATATAATATAAATTACATGGAAGAAAAATTATATAGTATACGTATGTATTGAATGTAAACAAATCTATTGTAGTTGTACATAGTCTGTAAATGTGAAAGCAAAAATAAATTCTATGAATAAAAAAAAAAAAATTGGCAAAAGAAAGAAAAAAAAAAACAAAAAAAGAATCTCCAAGAACAGTGTTTCCAGAGAAAATAACTTGATCTTCAAAAATTGTAATTTGTTATTCTTTTTCATAAAAATGCAAGATATGTGTATTTTCTGTTGAAAATGTAGAAGTTTAATTTGATTTAGATATGATAGATTTAATGAAATTATACCAATGATATTTCAAATTTTTCTTATATCTGTTTTTAACACTTTTCTTAAAAAGATTTTTCCTTAGGAAAAGAAGACAAACTTTCCTATTTCTTAAATACATATCGCTGTAAATACTAGTACTTGAACAAAATGCGTTTTGTAATGACCCCCTTTAAACCATTTAGCAACTTTAAAATTTCTGTGCTATTAAAATATTATACAAAACCTTCAAAAATACTGAATCCTGTATCGAGATTGTCGAGGAAGATTTATTGACCAAATAACATGTTTAAAACAATGCACTTATAAAAGATGAAGAAATTTTTAATACCTTTTTATCATACAATTTATTTTACGAGTAAAAAGTGGGACGGGTGGGTTTTTTGGGATTTGAACTATGTTCAATCTCCCATGGTCATCACGCATTTAACATGCGCAGTTATTTGTTGTTTGTATAGAGCCGAAAGCGAGGCTACTGTGTCGACCGATTTACTCCGATGATATTCAACAGAAAACATGCATAAACATCCGCCACAAATAGTTCATGTAATTTGCTCCTGAATTGATCTAATTTTCATAATTTGAAATGTAAGTAAATGTAATGATAACTGATAAAGCAATCTTATTTTGAATATTAGATTTCGTTCAAAATAAAACTTAATTATAAAGAAATACAAAAGTTTTTCGTAATGGAACTCATTTTTAGTGTAGTGTCATACACTGAAAGAGATACGAACGACAACTCTACATACTGACGGCAATCTAGTCTTCCCGACGGTGAAACAAAAGAACTTTATTCGGAAGTAACCAATATTTACCCCCAAATTCAAACTTTGACGGAGTAAGATTTAATTATGTTTTAAAACAGGGGGATTCATGCTGACTTCAAAGCACTGAATGTTTTCGTCAGCAATGACGTCATATGTTTGAAATGACGTCAGGAAAATGACGTAAATCTAAAATTTCCATGATTTCTATAGAAAAATGTAAAAATTGCGTCAATATTTTGAGTAAAAATCACCGAGCGCAGGTGTGTTCAGGCTCAATATTTTTATAAAATGTGTAGAATAATAATATTAATTAAATATGCAAATATTGTTCCTGAACAGGCATGCGCTCTATAAATTCTATAAATAAAATTGCTGAAATTTTGTCCATTTTGTCCTTTTTCTAAAAAATAATGCAAAATCCGACGAGTTTGTGACGTCATAAAATAAATAATTGTCAATAACCTACTTTTAAACTATAAAATGTTTTGTTAATTTATATTTTTCATACAATTTATGCAATACAACACATTTTAAGAATTTTTCAAAATTTAATTTTTGTGGGGGCAAAGATATGCAATATACCGAATATAGTTCTTTATCCAAACTTTTCATGAACATGGTGCACAGAATTTATTCAAACTTTTCATGAACATTTTCTTGGTTTAAATAAATTCATTAATGCATGAAAACTTTAGGAAACATGCGTATTTGTACGCACACAAACTCTCACTACCACTGTTTTTATGTTTGGTTATTAAATATTTGTTTTTAACTTAGTATTGCTTTTTTCCTTCAAAATATCAAAAAAAGATTAAGGTCTGACGTACTCCATGTATAATGTTCGTGTAATTGAAATACATTTATATTCACAGAGAAATTTTATATAACAAACCTGTTAGCTCTTAAAAGGATGCTGTTTGAAAATCTACATTTTATAAACATCGATATCATTCCTGCGAAACTGAAATTTTCATAACACATGGGTAAAGATGCTAAGGAAAAAATATATTAAAAATTTGAAGACTGTGAGCAGTGAATTATATAAATGATCAACCGCCTCCATTATGAATATAATGGCAGTGTCCATATTTTGCAATGGGAAACCCAAAATATGTGTAGGATGAAAAATTAATATAAGAGATGCACAACGGCAATATGTAATAAAGATTCTATAAAAATTTCGTTCAGTGGTGTAATAGGAGTTGCGGATAAGAGATGAGTATACCTAAAGCGTAACAAACGGATGGACGGAAATCCCGATTAATAAATACCCTCCCGCTTTTCAACCAGGGATATAAAAAAAAAGGACTAATGTAGGCAGGCAAGCATTATGGCCCATGCATTTTTTTTTTTTTTTTTGCTATTCAAAGTCTCTGAATGTCTTTCTCAAGATTGTTGCAACTCAAAAAATCTGAAACTGTTGTCTGTATTTAAAATAATATTGTTCACTCACTTAACCTCCCGATCAAAGATTTTATTTTACACCATGTTCAACTCCCGTGAGTGCTTTCAGTACTTTGATTTTTCTATATTGTCGAGTGCGGAACACAAAATTTTATCCAATCACAAAACAATGAATTTTCTTTGTCCTTATCACCTTTTGGATAAGCGTTTAAGATGAACTCCTGAATTTAATAGCTAGTTAGACGGTATATATGCGAAGCGGTTTATTAAAAAGCGAAAACTGCTCAAACCTAGGTTATATCGTAGGACCTAGGTGGCTATTAAATTCATTTCTTATAATTTAATTTTCTACCATTTCACCTTAAATATGACAAAAAAATTGTACGAATTTAAATGTAACGACAAGCGGATTGATACGTATATGACATTAGTCATTGTGACGTAGGAAACACAGGTTATTAAATATAATATAAGAATGTCAGTGTCAGAATAATTAATCAACTATAGCAATTAGGAAGTATTTTTCCTGAAGGGAGAAAGTAACAAGTTATCATTTTGTTTTAAAACATCATTTTATTCAATGCATAATTTATAGAGTTGTCATAGTTAACAATGTAATAGATAAGACAAATTACCATGACAGCTTTTATTTTCCTGTTTCCAAATCCCAGCTGAGGAACACGTCAAAAAAGAATAGTTGACAGTGTTGTTTTCATTACCGTCTACTTCCTGCATGGCTATTGTTGAACCAACAATTGTAGAATTCATCCCAGCAGTTGTACCATTTATTCCAATAGACTCACAGTCTACAGATAAAGTGAGCTACAGCGTATAATGATGATGTATAAAAGTGGGCTGGATTTTTTTTTAATTTCATTTTTTTTTTAATTTTAGCAATATCGTTCTTAAGAGGTTTAATTCCTTCTGTTTAATATTTTTATTTTCATTTAATTCGATAAAAGTGTAGAGAAACAAAAATGAAAAAAAGTAGACAATAAAACAAATAAGTGATATTTTTTTCCTGTGGGGCTTGTAACACGAGCTTTGATTGGTTACAAAGTCGGGTGTAAATTTCCATACTCCCGACTTAAGCCGAAAGGGGGGGGGTAAAAAAAATTAAAGTCACAAGGCATAGTTTCTCTATAATAAAAAACAAATAACATGACGTCACGATGCATTGTAGGACGTAAAAATAGCTTTTCAAAACACAGTTGATAAGTCTTATGTTAAAAAAAATTATTTGGATACACAGGAAATAAATTTGTTATCCAGGTCCAGTCAAGGGTGTAAAAGGATTTATCCCGAGTAATATTCCATACACCCACCCTTCGGTCTCAAGGTGCATGGAATACATGCCGGGGTAAATCCTCTTGATTGAACTTGATTAACCAATATTTTTAAAGAAAACTAAATTTGTTGTCTTACTTGTAACAATTGAAATGTCACAAGAGCGTTGCATGTTGTGAGAAAAAATACACCTCCTTCCTTTCCCAGTGCATGTCGACGTGTTATCCTGTAATTAATCAGGGTAATGACATTTCAATAAATAGCATATATATGGCAAATACGTTTCAGCAAAAACAACCATTCTGTATACAATTGTGCTATTTTACTGGAAAAGATCAAAGAACACATGCATATGTACAAAATCTGAATTCGATAAGATAGTGGAAACATTGCAATTTCATGTAAGTTTGCGATCATGAGGAGAGTTTAAATGTCTAGTATCAAAGCAAATTGCTTCAACTTCATGAGAAGATTTACTGAAAATGGACCCGATCATAGTAATGTACTGTAAATAAACTCCTGAGAATGTCATGCGTTGTCAAAAATCCCTAAAAAAGGAAATCGTTGTAAATGAACGAATACAATGTTATTGACAGTAAATGAACCCATTACAGTGTAATTTAAATATATCGTTACAATGTAATTTAAATTCTGTATACAGGAGAATTTTTACTTCTTATTTTCTCCCCTTTCGCCCCACTTTGTTTGGGCGAATTTAAAGAATACAGTATAATTTTTAGATATCCAAGCTTCATTTAGTCTCAATATGTACGAGCGGAATGTGTCCTAATATTTTACCTTAACCTGTCCTTGAAGAGCTATCCCCTTGTTTTTAACAAATAAAATTCATGTTAAAAAAACTATCTGGTAAGAAATTATTTTTTATCGTTTTTCTATTCTGAATAATTATATACATCTTTCCACAATATCATTTTTTGATATTCATAGTATTTGAATTATTATTTTATAAAGATTGTGTGTTCCCATAGACCTCACTGCATTCTTAATTTAAATATTGCTTGGGGAATTATTATTTCTTAATTTCTGCTAGTAAAACCTTTTCTGCTCTAAAGTGATTTGAATTACTTTCAGAGTATTTAATGCAGGATGGATATTTAAGGTTAGAAAATAATGTCCTGGTATGGGTCGAATACCTTTAACAAAACTATGACTAGGCGAATTTAAAACTGGGCAAAATTAAAATTGTGAAAGGGCGAAAATAACACGGGGCGAAAATAACCCTGTATACAGTATATCGTTACAATGTAATTTTTGTAAAAGAACCTGTTGCATTATAATTTGCTTTAAATGAACCCAATACAATGTCAAACTATAGAAATGAACTTTTACAGGGTAATTTACTGTCAATGTACCTGATGGTCCGATTTTTCCACATAAACGAATCCTTTGTCCTCCACTAAATTTGATTCAGCATCAGCACGTGATTTATAAGATAATTCACAGAATAAATGGACTCGGTTGAAATTAAATGATTTACAATCTGAGTAAGAATTACATTCCTTGGAGCAACCACGGAATCCAGTAGGACCGAGTGACGTGATGACATATCCGGTCAGTCGGGAATTCTGGGTTTCTCCTGATGAGAGAGCAGGAGAAAGTAAAATAAGGAACACAGACCGAAGCATGTCAGAGAAACCCATTGTGATCATTGTGAACGGGGTCGTAGAAATAACAACTTTTGTATTTGCGTTACTCTATATCAAGTGATATCCTTTTTTGTAAATCGATGAAATTCTATGACCGTTTTTCATAAATACTTAGAATTTGAAGTCAAATGAGAGGGAAATCCAAGTCTTAATAAATGCAATAAAAACTTTCGTTGCTTTCCATCGTCGTGTACCATGCAATATTTTTTAAATCGTTCAATACACAGAAGTAGTTATCAATTAACTCATTACAATCACAGAATTTTAAAATATCTTCCAGTACAATATAGGCTTTGCAGCATTCTCTTTCATTTTATTTGGAACAATGCAGTATTTATTCTTTAAATTCGTAATTTCCTCAGTGCAATGCATTTTTAACGTGTTCAGTATAATGCATAATTCTGTGCAATGCAGCATATTTTTAAAATTGTTCTCCACAATGCGGTATTTCTGTTTGTTCTTTACAATGCTTTTTTAAAACCTGTTCTGTACTATGCAGTATTTTTTATTTGTTCAGTACAATGTAATTCCTTCAATATGATAAGGTATTTTTCTTTCATTCGTTCAGATCAACGCAGTTTTTTTTTTTCTCATTCAGTTCAATACCAATAATCTTTTTTCATTTATTATCTGAATCACTTTTTTTAACATTAATTTAATTTTTGCGGATTGAGAGAAAAAGGTAATGACTAGAAGATATGGCGTAAAAGAAGTCGAACATGAGTTATCGTTCATATAATGAGTTATCGTTCATAAGATGCGTAATACGTCATCACTGGAGACCTATTCACTCGTACATGGAATATTCCACATGCATTAAAATAAACAGAAATAAAATAAATATTCTTTAATAATATATAATACAAATTCGGTTGGTAATTTATTTCTTATTTCATCTGTAATTTACAATGGGGTTATTATATATAAATCCGTATGCTGGAAAATGGAAATGTCAGTAAATATAAACAATTTATCAATATAAATAATGGATAAATTATAGACTAGCGTGGATTGATTTTAATGAAAAATAAAAGGAGTTGAGGTATAGTGCTTGATATATTTTCCTTTTATATATTTATTTGTATTTCGGTTAATGCAGTTTGGTACTGTGTATTGTGAATGGAGAATGCACGTGGGGGGGGGGGGGGGGTATTACCTACTGGAGACAGGCATCTATCGTTAAATGTGGTCCTGTAAGAAACGAAAACCAAACGTGTTTAAATGCTGCAATAAGTTCCTCGCTCCAATTTTTCACTCATGGAAACACTAACAATTGCCGTTGGAAAGCTGCTCGACACTCTGGGTCACTGAACAGTGAAGGACCTTTTTCGTGCCAGCACCAACAGCGACAGGGAGGGGTGGAGCGGTTGTTTGTCAGAGTTAAGGAGCCCACAACCACACTAAAATTATTGAATTATTAAATCTTATGCTTATATTGTAAAGAAAAGGGGGCCCTGGTCCCCTGCACAGTGAGGGATCTTTTTCGTGCCAGCGACAAGGGACCTCGGTTTATACGGTCTCATTGGAGGACCGGTCTCCACGTCCTTCAGATGGATTCAAACCTGCAACACAATGATTATCTCCTTAATCAGCGACTTGAAAGCAGACATTCTTATTACTGTTTCACACGGCGAGGCAGATTTCAGTGGAGAATCCATGAATCTTGAAAGGGGAAAAGGGGGGGGGGGTGCTGTTGTTTATCAGAGTTAAGAGTTTGTCAGTGTTAAAACATACAGAAATATAATAAATATTTTTGATAATATTTATTCGATTGGTAAATTACATTTTATTAAAATTAAAAATTATTTAATTATTAAATCATATGTATATATTCGACAGAAAAAGGGGACCGGGGTGGGTGGGGGGGGGGGGGTGCACTAACCTCTAAACTAATCCGCCAGTGTAATTGAATGACTATTATACTGAGGTTGTGAGATAGAAATAATATATTTTCTTATTCTAATTAGAAACTTATACCTATACAACAACCACTAATAAGAAATCTGGTATTGTTTCACAGGAATATCCAGCTTAGCGATAAGACTTAATTTCTCACAAAACTCAAGATTTTTCCCCCACGAGGCATATCCTAACGCAATAGAGCAAGGGATACGTAAATCTACAAATCCTACATTTCTCGCTATTCGGCAGTTACTACTTTTCTGGGTCTGGTATGCCTGATATTTCACACTAGATAATTCGAGTGAATTTTTTTTCTCATGTGATCCAAAGTACAAATATATGACATTGTGCTTACTTTATTTATATTTCTTCACTTAGGGCAGTGATGTTTATTTAATACTTGTTGTAAAATATGAATGAAATATAAAAAAAATTAATTAAACTAATTATAAAGTCCAAATTACTAGATTTCATTTCTTATCTAATGACCATGTATTGAAGGGCAGCCCCGCGAGAATTCCGAAGCATTTAGGTTATAATGTATAGCGACCATTTTACGTACCTAATAAATGAATGGTCTGATAGTTTAAATCTTGATAAAATTTTGAAGATGGTATCAAATAATGCTTCACTGAGAATTGTACAAAACTTTGATTTTTGTCCAATTAATTGCACCTTGAATTTTACATTAATTGAAGTTCTATGGGCTGCACATGTTTTTATTTAAGATATTGTAAAAAAGTTATATGATTTGCAAACAAATATCTTTGTAAATATTTGAATAAACTATATCTTTATTAAGTTAAGATACTTTGAGAAATAATAAATTTTCTTCTTTTCATCAATTGCAGATAACTCTTCATAAACCTTTAAGGTGGAATGTCACACCGACTTTTTATTTTAAAGATCTTTGAGTCATCCTTTTTAAACAATTGTTTCAGCACTGAAAGGCTGATATTAGCTCTTGATTATTTATATTAATTTTTTGCAGTTTGACCCATTTGTCATGAAAATTATAAACTTTTACTTTGGCCATATCTTTTGAACAGTAGATGCCAAGACATTCATACTTCACATATGTAATCTTTTTTGAATGACCTTTCATTTGATACCAACAGCCTTGATCCTTTGACCTTGAACTTGTAGATTTCCGTACTTGTGAAGAAACTTTAACCTTGGCTATAACTTTTGAACGGTAGGGGATAGGACTTTCATACTTCAAATACTTCAAATACTTGATCTTTGTGAGAAGTTACTTCATTGGATACCGAGAATTTTGACCCTTTGACCTTTAAGATTGACCTACTTTAAAAAAGCAAACATTGACCATAACTTTTTAAGTATTATGGCTAGTGCTTTCATACTTAAAATATTTAATCCTTGTGAGAAGTTACTTCATTGGATACCAAGAACATTGACCCTTTGACCTTGACGTTGGAGTTTGACCTTCTTTTTAATAAATAACCTAGGTCATAACTTCTGACCGGTTAGGGTTAGGGCTTTCATACTCTATATAAGAATTCTATGTGGCAAGACCTTTCATTTTGATACCAATTACATTGACATTTTTGCCTTGACCTTAGAGATTTTTGTACTTATAAAAAAACCTTTAACATTTTCACAAATTTCACAATTGTTTTCCGTTGAGAATACCTTATTTTTGTTAACTATTAATTAAATTTGCATTTAAAAAAAAAAAAAGCTTAATATTTGCTATGTTGCCATATGGGGGCATCAGTGCTACACAAACACATCTTGTTTATTAGGTATTCATATGATGCATTCATTTACAGCAAATTATTTTAAAAGAAAGCATCTAATTTGGATGTAAATAATCATAATCCTACATGTCATTCATTGCTGATGATTTATTTTAGATTGAAATTATTACCATGATCTTAAAAGGGTTTTCCTACCTACCTGTAGCTTGTACCAGCTAATAATTCGACATCGAACTCGGCAACTCCTTCCCTTTTACGGAAATTAAAAAGATCAGTTTAACCTGAAGATATGTCCCCGATCTCAGAGCTTTCTATCACCTACCTGTACCTTGTACCAGATAAGAATACGACAAAATATTCGTCTTATTCCAACCTGTCTGTCATAGATTCTAATTTATTTTATACTGAAATTATTACCCTGATCTTACTTGGCAACTCCTTACCTGTTATGGAGATTCAAAAGATAGGTTTAACATGAAGATATGTCCCTGATCTCGAGCTTCTTCTCACCTACCTGTACCTTGTATCAGATTAGAATACGGCCAAAATATTGGTCATATTCGTACGTGTCTTTCATAGATGCTGATTAATTTTATACTGAATTTCTTACCCTGATCTTACTAGGCAACTCCTCACCTGTTATGGACATTTAAAGGATAGGTTAAACATGAAGATATGTCCCTGATCTCAGAGCTTTCTCTCACCTACCTGTACCTTGTACCAGATTAGAATACGACAAAATATTCGTCTTATTCCAACCTGTCTTTCATAGATTCTGATTTATTTTGTACTGAAATTATTACCCTTTACTCCTTACCTTTTATGGATATTTAAAATATTATTACCCTGGTCTTACTCAGATAAGCAACTCCTTACCTGTTATGGAGATTCAAAAGATAGGTTTTACATGAAGATATGTCCCTGATCTCAGAGCTTTCTCACCTACCTGTACCTTGTACTAGATAAGAATACGACAAAATCCAAAATATTCGTCTTATTCCAACCTGTCTTCCATAGATTCTGATTTATTTTATTTAGAAATTATTACCCTGGTCTTACCCTGCAACTCCTTACCTGTTATGGAGATTCAAAACATAGGTTTAACATGTAGATATTCCCCTGATCTCAGAGCTTTCTCTCACCTACTTGTACCTTGTACCAGATAGGAATACGACAAAATTATCGCTATATTCCTTCCTGTGTTTCATAGATGCTGATTTATTTTATGCTGAAATTCTTACCCAGGTCTTTTAAAATAAGCAATTCCTTACCTTTTATATAGATTCAAAGGATAGGTTTAACATGAAGATATGTCCTTGATCTCAGAGCTTTCTCTCACCTACCTGTACCCTGTACCAGATTTGAATACAT